TGTTTCAGGAGATTTACTCGTTGATGGCGTCGCCATTTCGCTCGTCTGTTGGAAAACCAAACCTAATTGATCAATATGAAGAGATTTTTTGTTAGTTTATAAAAGTGTCTGTTCGGCATTTAAACTACACAATAACAGTGAAGTCATCTGCTCATCATAAGGAATAAAAATCTGAATCAAAAGTTAAAATTTGGGGAACATTTATAAATAATCGGAACTTTGATAAAAATGTTTCTATTTACAGATTTATTTTAGGGGTTATTTTGGTAAGTTTTCAAAATAGAAACTTAATGAAAAGAAGTCAGTAGGAGTAAATTGAAGAAATTTATAAAGTATTTCGATTTATATGAAGAATATTTAAACATAATAGTTCTAAATGCCGTTGTAAAACTTTTATTTATTATATTTTAATAATCTTGTCTGCTGGTATTAGTACATTCGTGCTATTTAATATTAAAAATGCAAATTCTTAACTGCTATGAATTAATAATATCTAAATGATCGATTTACTGGTGGAATTATTAATTAAAGAAGCAATCTTTTTTTAAAAGAAACTTAAAGAAAGAAATCATTAAGGATTTCTTCTGCAATTTATACAAGACAAATGGCCTAAAATGGCCCTAAGTTGTATTTTATGTTAGTTTTAAACGGAATTATTCATCAAGAATATGGAAATTTACCTGAACTCTAGCCTCACTAAGCGATGTTCTTGCAGCCAATTTTTCCCGGGTGCTGACGCAAGGATAATGTGACTTTTCAAATTCTTTTTCAAGTTCCTCCAATTGTTCTGAGCTAAATGTTGTGCGATTTCTACGAAATTTTGGCTGATCACTATCATCTGAATCAGTGTCTTCGCCTTCTATATCTGTAATAAATAAAATGTGACAGTAATAGATATAATAATGCTATATAATTCATAATAATAATAATAAAATGATCGTAATCTCATATACGATATATGCATAAGTATATATATGTGATTTATTATTATTTTTTTTAATATTTGTAAAGATTTTTTCACATTTATTATTTAATACCTAAATTTTTTTTTATTTATATAACAATTATCGCATTGGAAGGCAGGCAGTAGTATTATATGTATGAATAAGAAAATTTTGGATAGATTTTTGCAACAAGATGTGAACAAATAAAATATATCTTTATGCAATTGAGAATAAACTTCCTTAAACTAACGTTGAAAATAATTAAAAATATATTTTACAAATTAGGTTAATTCGTGCTTTTGGGGTTATAGATAGTTAAATATCAGGGACATAAGCCCCTTGTGGAGAAGAGCATTAAAACTATATTAAAGTTTGTTCAACTAACTTCAAATGAGGGGAAGACATTATTCAGCTTTTTGAATAAATATCAAAAAATTCTTCCTTAAAAGGTGTCTTATGTTCCTTATGACCAAGAGTTTTATCCCTTTTAACTATATGCATTATCTTCCTTGGTGTTGGCTTTCTTGGGTCGTTTTTTTCAGAGTGTAACGCTAGATTAAGGTGAATTGTATACATATTAAGACAAATAGGTTGGAGTGGCGGTCTTATGCCCGAAGCTCAATTGAACTCAAATAATGGTCCGTTCTAATTGAATAATAATAAGTAAAATCATTATTGTTCTAGCAGCACCAAGGAATATTATAGAAACTTGTAATTTTTATTTACTTTTGTTTTTATAATTCCATATCCAGTACTTAATGTGCTTGTAAAATAATATGTATGCATTTATTTTAAAAGAATTTTCTAGTTAAATTAAATGTTGTTTGATATTTTCGAGGCACGAAATTTTACTCTAAAAATGTCTAGTCGCAGTTCTTACATTGGACACATCATTTCACAACCTGATAATTCAGAGTCTCTTCGGACTAACGCTCGACCTCTACCAAATATAAATCGAAATAAAGGAAATTTCTTTAAAAAGGCATACTTGAAAATGTGAACTTGCTTAAGTGAACACTGGATCACTTTTTTTTGTACTCAATACGTAAAAAAAGTTCTTAAAGAGAACTTCAAGTGTTTGAAGGAGACATAAAAATTAGTTTGCTTAATTGTTCATTCTCGAAATCATCCAGCTACGTGTATATATATAGTATTTAAGGTAATTAAGACTTCATTTTTTCGAGGGCTTGCGTGTACTTACCAATCATTCTGTTAGCATCAGGTGAGCCTAAAGTATCACGACTACCGGAGTCTGGAGATAGTGCTGGTAAGGATGTATTTAAACTCGTTGCAGAACTGTTTGTGGGAAGATTATGCAAACTATTAGGTGTACCTGCTGTTGGTTGCCATAAGTGTGCGGTCATTGTAGGTGACCAAGTTGGAAAACTAGTATACGGATGGGTAGGATGAATGTAACCATAACTTGCTGCTCTTGCAAATTCAGCTGCTGCTCTTTCCGCTGCTCTGTTCCGCAAAATACGATTTATTGAGGAAACTGATGGCGCTGTTGCGTTTGTGCAAACGCCTTAAATAAAAAACTTTAATTAATAGAATAAATACTCACTTGAAATAATAAAATAAAAAGTACTTTGAACGCAAAGTCCGCTTTCATAACTTTATTTCATTTGATACAACTAAAACACATAAGATCACAATAACAGAAGGGACAAACTTATTGCTAGCAGTCCAATAACCTTAATTGAGCAGAGCTGACGATCTTCTTGCATGGGCAACTCTGCACAGAACAACAGAACATCGCTGCCTTTCGGAAGTAAGAGTCAGTGAAGGCAAATAATCAAGATTAACGTGATGCAATCAAGTACCAAAGTACGAAACTGTTTCAGTGAGGCTAACTCAAAGGCCGAACAAATTTCTCACGGGCGTACGCATTAAATGCAAAATTAAATTTAAATACGTTTAAATAGTAGTGCCATTAAATAGCCATCTCCCTAATCTGGCTGTGCCTCAAGCACGAGCAGATTAGCAAAGCAATCTTTATTTTAAGCTAATTTTTTATTTGTACGTTTGGTGTGCACTCGTTTCGAATAGTGTCCGGATGCTAATAAATTAAACAATCGATAAATCGCAGAGCGCAACATATATTGCATTAATGTAAATGAGAAGTATTATTTGGAATATACAGTTTATCGATCGGTCAGTCCTTTAGACATCAAAGAATGAATGGCCACCGTGACGTTGAGGAGGGCATGTCAGGTTCTGTCAGTAACAGGTACGACTACAGTTTCAGCATTGACGACAGCTTATACAGTAATAGCGGCAGCAGCAATTGCGTAGCGTAGTTGTATTTATTGGCAATTTGGTATGAATTGTCTACTTAATGCTGCGGACGTTTAGTTAATTACGAATTAAATTTAATGAGTTTACCTTCGGATATAAGCCGTTCACGTATTTCCCACGCAAATATTGTAGGATTTTCTCTTTTGTACTGTTCGATTTTGGAGACAACGGCTGGTGTTGCTACTTTAGGCTTTGATCCGCCGATTAAGCCAGGTGGTCGAAGTGTTCCTAAAATACAAGAAATAGGATTTCCTTTAATTGTAATGAAAAAACAAATAACAAATAACAAATAACTAGAGAAGTTAACTCATTATGGACAACATATAAATATTAGGGCCCAGTTTATATAATAAACGCAATAAAGGTTATTTGCGCAACGACAGCAGAAGAAATGTGCCAAAGTATTGTATATCTTAAGACACTTATTTGTAAATAAGAAAAAAGAAAAAAAATCTGGGCAACTTACTAATATTCTTACTGTACAAAAGAGAATGTATGGCAGTTTTGCCATTCTCTTCAAGAACTGGAGTATAATCTATTAAAAAATCATAATAACAGAAAAAGAGGAAAGGAGCAAACACAGAAATTTTCAAGAATTACCAGGTGTACCGGTATGAAGTGAGCGTAAAGATACAAATGTTCCGACAGGGAACATTTGTTGTGAACGAGCCTTTTTTTTTTGTTTGTTTGCTATGACATGTGTGAAATATATTTAGTATACATTAAGTCATTGAAGAGACATCATATTTTTTCATCGTGTTAAAAATGTCGAATTTTGTACCAGAAAGTGATGATTTGCGGAAAGCATTAATTTTTTGTTTTTATTTGAAGAAAAGGGGCGCAGAGTCGCATCGAATGCTTGTCGAGGCATATGGTGATCATGCTCTATCAGAAGCAACATGCAAAAGATGGTTTCAACGGTTCAGAAATAATGATTTTGATGTGAGAAATGGAGAACGTGGAAAACCGCTAAAGAAGTTTGAATATTGTTATCACAATTGAAGCGAAATAATTTTTAAAATTTTTTCTAAAAAGTAATAAAGAATAAATGCCATTTTTTCTTTTTTTAACGATTTAATATACTTGAATATAATTTACAAAATATCTTAATCGGTAGTCACGATAGACAGAGTTGTATTTCCTATATATATGCGACAAGGTGTGAATCTAAATTAACCATAGATGAACAAGCAGGAACTTATTTCATATGCTTATGAGACAAAGAGTCAAGCTAAATGATCAATATGTAAATAATACAGAAGTTTATTTCACATTAAGATAAATTTTATTCCAGAAATAGAGATATAGTAAGTATCAGATAAAGAAGCCCTGCCAGAACATCTTAATAATTGCATAACTAAAAAATAGTTTATGTCCAATGTCTAAATCTTAATTCACCATAAAACAATAGTACCTTGTAGAGAAAATTGATGAAATGAATTAATTTTTAATTGGGTGAACTTTTGTGATAGAGTTCACCGACGGTAAAACAAAATGATGCTCGTAAACTCCCGCAACCAAACTTCACACTCCGAAACAGTAACAGTCTTGGTACCTGCCATAAAGGCTTGAAACCACGGTGCTCTACAAGCATATGTATCAAGATAATAATTTGCCCCATTGGAAATTCTGATCAATTTCAGCCGGTTCCAATGAAGTTATGTGTTTTGGAGTTTTATGTGTTTTCTTCTTGGGTTTATGCGAAACCCACCAATACCTCTGTTGATATTCGGGTCACAGTACCCTATAGTGAACACGCAACTACACGCCGAATGAATAATAAACAAATACCGATAATTCTTTCCGCGTAAGTTTGGGTTTTAACCATAGCCACTACGATTCTACCAACCATCACTTGGGCAGGACAACCGAAGCTGCGGGCACCTGACGTCCGTATACCTGTGTCAAGATAGTATTGTTGTATGGCAGTGAAACCTGTCACTACAAATACAATGCTTCGTAAACCGATGTCTCAGACACAGTGTCGGCATCTTTTAACCACGATTTCAGAACGAAACCCAAAGGAAAAAGGAAAATAAAGTAGAATTACTATGTTCTAGCAAAAGCAGGAATGCAGTTGTGGTCCTTGTGAGAATGTATAGGATGAAATATGAAATATTTCTCTATTACAATTTACTCCGAGGAATCCTTATCAGTCTATAACTTCAGTAAGATATGGGATGCATAATATACTCATAGATCATTAATACCATATATACCGTAGTGATAAAGTACTTCTATTAGGGCTAAAAATTGTACTACCAATCACTTAAAATATATTAGTTAGAATTGGCGAAATTGAAATTTAAAAATACATCATACAAACTAGAAGTGACATATTTTTTAAACATATATTACAACATAAGTAACAAACTGTATACTAGTAAAAAGCTTTAGTTAATAAACACCTATTAAAAATAAGAAAATTAAATTAAAATTAGTGCTTCTAAAGGTAAACTTTTTTGGGTTAAATGGATCAAAATTCTTATTTCTGCTTTAATATAAATCATAACAGGTCATGTGTACGTTTTAGATACCTCTTTGGAGATACGGCAATATTTGTTTTTAACAAGTTTACTCTTATTAAACAGTGTCATCTATTTCGTAATTCTGAAAATTAGCGCTGAAGAATCGCTGATAGGAATGAAATACATCATCCGTATCAGGTAATTTCGATATTTCACTGGCAGATAGCAGGAAATAGCTAGGCCATAACTTGAAGAATGTTCGTGTGGAAAGCTTTGAAATTTTAAAGATTGTATGTAAAAACATAATCCTTTGTGTAACCCCATCTGTTTGCCAGTTCACATTGCAGAACTTGTTTGACAAAGTCTAGAACTGGTAGTTTATGTCATATATGTATCAGTTTTAAAAAAGCACTGGTCTGTCTCACCTCTTTACAAAATGTAACACCATATAATTATTTCTTGTGAATGCAATGCTCTTCCGACGGTTATTTGAAAAAACAAATGCGACAATTTCGTTTGTTGACATATCCAGCAATCGACAAATAAACCTGAAATAAACCTATAATAAACAAATAAACCTTTCTGAAGAAATATCGTCAGCTTACCGCTGTTGCTAGTCTGTGTTGTAGGTTCAGCGATTATTAAATAATTTATATTGTTAAGTTATGATCATTATATACTAAATATATGATGTTTGAATTAATAGTTCAGTTTAACATATGTCACTGAAAAAATACTGTTAAATCAGGACTACGAAATAAATAACTATTCTTATGGTTATATGGTTTAGTTTGCAATATCCAATGTAAGGTTTTTTTACAGTGTTCTTTCTAAATAAACTAGCTAGCATTTAGTGCTATGTCACTGAATTAAAGATAACTATAAATCTGGTTTATCACTGCCGTTTAATATTTTTAAAATATATTCTCAAATAATCAAAAAATTAAAATCAACTTTTTTTGTTTCGCAATCTATATTTTTGTTTTGTTTGCAATCTATTTTACAGCACAGTTTTATATCACCGACTTTTGTAATAGCTTATCGAATCGCAACTCAGTAAAACTATGACATAAAATATATCATAAATGAACCATATCAAAATTATTTCTAGCTGCTAGTTGTCACACCGACACCGACACCGACTGATACGATATTTTCTCTGATTTGCTTACAGAGATTTGTACTTACTCAGGTGAGTAGACCAAGTGAGTTACCATATAAAGTGCCCCGAACTGCAATACCATCTTGCTATAGATGTTAATCCGTCTAATGTGATACAATATCGTCTTTATATAAAATAGAGCAGACTTTTTACCACATTAGCATAAGAAATTTTGACTTTTATTTCGCAGTTGTTGTTTAATTCGAGAATTATTTGGCAGCATAAAACGATTGCTAAGATCGCAATCAACTGCTTCTTTAGGGATCTAAATGATTGTGTTTTCTATTTATTTTTTTAAAAGCTTATTGTGCGAAATTTTTAATTTATAATTACAAATACAGATCAAAAATTAAAAATGTGATTTTAACTTTTTAACAGATACCAGACTTATGGCGAATTAATTGTCTGCCCCCATCGAAGGTATGTTAACTAACCATGGAAGAGGTGTGATTTATATGATTCTAATGATATTCTTATGTTACTGCATAACTAATATTATTCAATAATTTCACTTTAACTATACTTCAATTTTACTTTGATTGAAATTATAAGATAATTTTATCAGTCTTTCTACTAGTCTCTTTGTTGAAGTGTATTCAATATATGTCCCATCTACATATGGTACAGTTTTGGGTTAACTAGGATTTGGTAATTGCATGTATGTAATCTGAATATAGAAACGAGTTTAAGCAATCGTAGTTGGAGTAGTACGTGGATGCTGTTAACTTTAGAAATTGAGTTTCATTTCATAGTTTAAACAGAACATCCGGTGGCTGCAGGGTTTGAATTGCTGTTGCTAATTGCATTGCTTGCATAATTGCTAACGCATTGCATATGAAAATGAAATAAAAATATGCATTAGCAACAGCAA